TTCTTATCTGCTTTCTAGCTCTGCCAGGTGGTGTCAAAACACCTGGTTAGATGGCTCAGGTATAGAGGCTTCCTGTCTTGCTAAGCTATGGCCCCTTCTTCTGTCTAATCTTCCTATCTTGTAATATTTATATCCAATCAGTTTCTACCCAAGATTTATGTTTTCCCTCTCCAGAACCCTCTCTCAAGAGCAATTGACAAAATGCATTACAAGGGGAGGAAGAGGAAGAGAAGGGAGGGAGGAAGGGAGGGAGGGAGGGAAGGAAGGAAGGAAGGAAGGAAGGAAGGAAGGAGGGGAGAGAGGGAGGGACAGAGAGAGGATAAAGAAGCTAAAGCACGTATGTATGTATGTATGTATGTATGTATGTATGTATGTATGTATATCATTAAGGCTGGCAAAGAGGTCAGTTTAGCACAAACCAGAGAATGGAAATGCTGTAGAAAAGGCACAAGCCTGTATTGCGATAGGATGAACTGTGACAATTTATTTGTCTACAATCTTACCACAAAATGGGTTTCTTACTAAGAAATGTAGAAGCAGTGATCCATACGTAGCTCAATCAAATCTTATAAAAAGCATCCACCAAAAAGGCAGCTCAGTTTGAATAAAGTCTCAAGTTAGGATTCTTCTTCACAGGAGGAAGATGGTATTTGCAAGCAGGATGTTTCCTGGCTTTAATCTACCCATTAACCATGAGCATAGATATGTGGATGGCCCTCCATTAGACTCTCAATTTCACCAGCAGGAAAAGGAGAAGTAGAAATACTCGAAATTCTCTTGCCTCCTAAACATGAACTATGATTAAGATCCATATGCTTGAAGATCCATATTTGTGTATGGATCATTAGTACAATTATTATAAAGTAGCAAAATTAAAAGAGTGTTTACACCAACTGCAGTTCTCTTCACTCTCAAAAAATCAGAAAAAATATGATTGTATGCTGCTATTGTTTAATTTTCCCGAAGAGATGTTAAAATAAAAATTCAAACAATCTATTGTGGGGGGAATCTGCAATAAAATGTTGTAACATATAATACAATGTTTCTATTCAAGCTTCTAGCCAGGTAGTCATGCTCATTTTCTAAAATCTTTTATTGTGTTTTCCCACACACAGTTTTCATCTGTTCTAAACATCAATCAGCATGTCATGACAGGAGCTGTTTTTGTTCTTTATCTTCTTGTCTTTTTTCCTAAAGTATATTAGGGTTATACGATGCTTTAGAATTGATTCCAAAAGCGGGCAGCACATGGCAGCTGCAAATGACAGCCATTATGATTCTGGGAAAGACAGAACTACTTTAAAAAAGAGTTGCAGACAAGGGCTATGAGAGTCTTTTTGCCCACTTCAGAAGACCTTTTGCAAACTATTTTCAAAGTAATGCACAGCCCTAATACTGCATATATTTGTTTCTCTCTTTTGAACATGAACTTTAACTTTTTACTCCCTAAAGAACAGTATTGTTTGTTTATACTGAATGTTATAACCTAAAAATAAGCAGTCACAGAAGCTTTTAAAATGTGATACAGATTATAGAGGGCAAAAAAATAAAAGTTATAGATGGTTGCTGATCAGTCGAGATTTCACATCTATACATAGTCATACAGATTAACGGCATGCAGCATACGAGCTATGGGTGGTAATCAAGTTTATATTATGCCCTTCTAAATAACAATATAATAGGATGAATGTAAAGTAAAAAAGACTAAAAGTAGAAAACATTTTACGTGAGACTATCTTTGAACAGCATCTAGAAGCTACAGCAGGAGCAAAATGCAACGGCCCAGGCAGTTATGCGAGTATGTTACATTTCTCCACTGCAAGTTGCACCAGAATGCTTCCTGGTTCAATTCAAGGTCCATTTAATGATCCACAGAGCTCTTCAACACCCAGGGATGCATTATTTGAAGGACCACCTCCTTCTGATTATGATACTTGATATATCAGAAGACTCATGCCTGAGGTTCCCATCTATTAGGGTCTAGGAAGGAAGCATTTTCTGCTGTGGTTCCCGCCCTTTAGAATTTCATTCCCTTGGAGATTAGATTGGTCTCTACCCTACTGGCTTTTTAGAAGGCAGTAGTTATATTCATCGGTGATGATGGTTTTTGTATGCAGGCTGCTGCTTGTGCTTTTAAGGTTTTTATATGTTTTTATATGATTATATATTCACACAGTTCTTACTTTTGTTAGCCATCCAGAGTCATGAATGTGAAATGGGGAGCCATATCACTAGAAATAATAAATATTTTTAAACTACAATGTATATTTATGAAAATATCTTTTTTTAAAAAATACAAGTTTCTTTTTTATTTAATCCTTTATGCCCACCCAAAGTTTTATATTGGTGAATTACAATGTTTTCCAGACTTAGAGGACTTGGCTTTTGACTGGTATAACCCTTTCCAAAAATGAGTGGATGGAGCTGCAAAAAAATCTATCTTTAACACTTATTTAATTAAAATATAGTTAGTATAATTATTCTCCAGTCATCTATTTAATATTTCCCTCTTTGATCATATTAAAGTATTGCTTATTAGCAAGTTTTAGAGGCTTTTGTTGGCTGCCGCAAAAGTTTGGGGAGGAAAGGGTCCATACAAATCTCAATAATCAACCTCAAGCAAACTTCTATGTTATACAACATTCTGGGGAGTTACAATACAAGATCATAAAACTAAATTAGAGGGGAGAAGTAGAGTTTAAAAGTAAAGAATAGGCAGTAAGAAGTAGGCAGATGCAGAAAATGAGATATTTTCTGTAAAGCAAATGCCTTCTTAAATAGTCTTTGGTATATTTGAGGTACAGCCATGAAAAAGACACTATTGGCCTGGACTTCACAACAGGATTATAAAAAAAGGTTCAGTATTGAATTGTAGGCAGGCAAGTATGGAGAAAGGCAATTCTTCTAAGATATTCTGGACTTAAGCTCTTAAGGACTTTAAAGATCATCATTAACATGTTGAACTGGAAACAAATTGATAACCAGAACAGCCCGTGATTTAAAGGTGAGGTATGAATCTGTATGCAAGTTATATGGGTAGTATAACTCCAGAAGGAATATTGTTTGTCTTCGCAATACCACAACAAGCAAACTAATATGCTTGTTATGTCATCTGATGCAACAAGTTTTAACATCACTGAATCTTCTTTCATAAGGGTGAGTCAGATAGTACAACAAGAGAGGTAAGTATTTATTGACAGATGACTACCAAGCACTATAGTTGAAAATGTATGAATTCAGTTGCATTTCTTTTGTTAAAATTTTCAGCAATATTTTTATGTGCTTTCTGAAGTAGTTATCGAATCTGTAATTGTCAAAACAAAGATCTGAAGGATTCAAGTCATTAATTCAAGTTCTGAATTAATTTTCAAATCAAAGTATAGGTATAGCGAATGCATATTAAGAAAAAGAGGCAGCAATAGAATATAACTGCCATATAGACATATATTGATAAGTTATGATACTATTAGACTCTTTAATTGCTTGTTTCTCTATACCTGCTGTAATGTATATTAGAGATATAAAAGGACTGTCGATACATAAGGAGATAATCTTTTCTGGAGTGGTCAGCAATAATATCAGAAGGCCTTCGCTGTTTTTCAGAAAATATAATCTTTGTCCTTCATTTTGAACAGTGAACTGTACAGTCATTTCTAAAATATTATAATGATATAAATGAAATGCAGAATTCCAAGGAGTTCCTAGCTTAAAAAAAAGTTTATAAAATGTTCTTCCTTTAGGAATGAATGCATGCTAACCATGATCTTTATGTGTTGAAAATCAGAGAACAAAGCAAGCAACATGAACTATAAGCACTCCAGTGAATCTGTTTTTGTATTTATTTTTTAACTTCACATTTTTAGATGCTGAACCGCAAGATGCCAATCAAGCTTATAAAAACAGTGGTAATAGAAATAGGCATCGTGAATGTCCAATTAAACCAAAATATTCAAACAAACGTAGATGTGCTTACAGCATCATTCAGTTCCTGGTGCGAAGGGCAAGATGTTTTGACAATTATCAGAAAAAGCCATGTACAGGTGGGTGAATCCTCAGGATGACAATCATTGAATAGGGAATGACTGGGGCATTGAAAACATTTAATAAAATAGTTTAAATTCATGATGGATTTTTAAAGATAAATTGTGTGTGTTTGGTTAAAGAATGGGCTTGGCGATAGACTGTATCTCACTGTTCTGATCCAACTCTTCACTGGGTCGTTCAGAAAATGCTTTTTACCATACCCACTTACGACCATTACTCAAATCCATGACCATGACAGGGACACTAACCTCAGACTGTGTTTTGAAGAAAAGCTTAGGACAGATCTTCCTTCTTTTCTTTCTTGAACCTCAGTTAAGAGTTCTGGGAAGGCAGGCAAACTTGAACAGAGGCAGTCTTTTTGTCTTACAAGCCAAGGTCTCGCAAGCCTCCAGCTGGTCTCTCCCTTCAGAAACCTGCCTACTTTGCTTCTCTTCTTCTCCTATTAAACTGGCCCTGGCAGCTTTTCTGCATTACTGTATGGGGAAGGATTATTGACTGAAGTCTGTTTCTCTTAGAGGTAGGAGCCTGATCGCTGTTTATTTGCAAAGTGACAGTCCTGCCTCTTGAGTGTGTTAATGCTGCCTTCAGAGGCAAAGGAGCAAGCAGGAGTTTCTATTCTTTTTTTTTATTTGTAGGGATATAAGCAGCTGGAGACCGTGGGGGAGGGGGGAAATTAAAATGTCAAAGGAGCTGTAAAATGTACTATTTATTTTTTAGATTAATGTTTGGGTAGTTCAATTTGAAATAAATCCAAGAAATGCCATGAAGATAGCCAAAGGTATGCAAGTGGTACTGTTGGTCTTCAAGTTTTTTTTAAGCAAAAAGATGCTCCACCGCATAAATATTGAAAGGAAGACATCCCTTAAAAGTATACAACATGGGCAACACTGTTTGTATATACAGCTAACACTCCTATGGGCATTTGACAAGTTGCAAATTATTCCTCTTTAACATACCTTGACTTAAGAAGGGAGGAGAGATATTCCCCCCCCTCTCTTCCTGCTCTTTGAAACATCCGTGACACGATGAAGAAAAGGCACCTATATTTAATGTCAACCTCAGTGGCCACGAGGTCTTATGTTTCCCATTTTTGACAGCTCGGGAAGCATGTCCTCCTCACTATGCATGGCACCGTTTGTTAGGGGTCCACCTTACACGGGAAATCACCCCAATCCTACCGCTGCAGTCATTCAGGGAGGCAGGTGATGTCTGTCAAACCAGCTCTCCGCCTTTCAACAAATAAAAAATAAAAAGCAAAACAAAACAAAACACTTTTTGTGGGCATTAAACGAGGAGCGGAAGGGGTGGAAAAGAGACCCCCCCTCCCTCACACGCCCCTGCTCCTAAACCGTACCTGAAGGCATCTCTCCGCACTTAGCTACTACTTGGAGCCGTGTGTCAACTATATCCGCCGGGTAGGAAGAAGCAGGGATGATTCATGCATCGCCTTCTTTCTTTCCAGACTCCGCCAAAAGGCAGAAATCCTCTGCTCTCCCCCTCCTTCCCGCTTACCTTACTCGGCGAGACCACGTTCAGCATAAACACCGGCGGGGGGAAAGCACAAAAGACGCCCGGAATTCCCCCGCCGCCTCCCCTCCGGTTGCTGCTCCTGCTCTGGGGTTCTTTTTGCAAATGATCTGTTGACAATCCGCCGAGGTGAAGGCGGGCGAGGTTTGTTTTGGTTGTGTGAGTCCTTGCGCGCGCGCGCGCATGTGTGTGTGTGTGAGAGAGAGAGAGAGAGAAAATCTTTCGCCCCGCTCGCTTCTTCTCCCTCGCGGGCGACGTCCCTCTCGCCTTGCTCTGAATCCCGGCTCCCGAATTACCACCGCCTGCGGGATGGAGGAGGACAGCTACGGGGAGGGAGAGGGGGAAGGCAGAGCCGAAAGGCTGCGGGCGGTCGCCGCTTGCAAAACGGAGGAGGCGAGAGAGCTCTCCAGCAGCCCCGCCGTCATCTCCCTTTGTTTGCAATGGGATTTGGGTGCTGCTGCTGATGCTGCTGGTGGTGTTGGCGGTGGCGACTGCCAGCGAGCCTCTATGCGCGCGTTCGGGTGTGCATCAGTGGATGCGCCGCGTAAACCGAGCAAGCAGCTGTTTTCTACCCAGCGCTACAAGGGGACGCACACGCACACGCGCAAGATTTGCCCATCTGGTCGCCTTCCCAGCAGGGACCCGAGTGCAAAGGCCAAAAGTCAGACGTACATTAGAACCACTTAGGCGCGGGCTTCCTGGACTTTCACCAACAAAGGGCTCGTAGTCCCGTCCCCGCCCCCGTGTAATTGACTCAGGTTGAACTACGTTGGTCTTTGCACTAGGCAGCCAAGTTTTTAATTCCAGCTAACCCGAGGAACCCTGTGAAGTATTTTTTTGGGGGGTGGGGGAATTGCTGGGGTGTGTGTAAGCCGTCTTTCTCTCACCATTCGGTCATCAACAGGCCTCCATGCGTTCAGCCAGTAGTGGCTGGCTTTGTTTCTGCTTTCACTTGTGGGTGTGTTTATATCTGCTGTGCAGCAGAGTTTATATTGTCAGTATTTCTTTCCACATAGCTGCCAGAAATATCTTATATTCTTTTTTTTTTTTTTTGCTACGTGTCAAAATGTAAATATTTTCTTTAAAATTACCCTTAGGAATAGAATTATCTGTTGACAACTAGAATTAAAACTATCATGTCACCCCTGATTTTTTTGCCAAGGGAATGTCAAAGTGTGAGGGTCATTTTAAAATACACGCAGAGTTGTTTTCATTATCATTACATTTTCTTTGCTGTCCTGTCCTTCCTTCCTTCTCCCCCACCCCCAACAACTGTGTGAGGTGAGCTGGGCTAAGAGTGAGTGACTGACCCAAAGTCACCCAGCCTGCTTTCATGCCTAAGACAGAACTAGAATTTACAGTTTCTTGCTTTCTGCTTGGTGCCTTAATCACCAGACAAAACTGGCTCTTTGGGGAAATAATGCTGTCAAGTGGATATTACTATATATTTAACATAATGGTTGGGATTGTGATGTTTAAATTCTTTCTGGGAATTGATTTAGGCTTCTTTGCTATTTAAATTTATGGAAGACTTATTTTAGGACTTATGTTATTTTCTCCTCAAACTTAACAGAAATCATTACTATCAATTTTCAGAAATCATGGAGAGAAATGATAACTTCTGGCCTATTAAAAAAAGGTGTTGGGAATTATATCCTCCTTTCATTTTGTATTGGGTGGATTTGTTTTGTTTGGGGGTGGAGGAGTTGCCTTCAAGGCAGTGCCGATTCCTGGCAACTGTCTGGATTAGGGCCTGCAGTTTTCTTGGCAAGATTTTCAGAAGTGGTTTGCCATTGCCTTCTTCCTAAAGTTAACTGGCCCAAGGTTAGGCAGATGGCTTTGAGCCTAAAATGGGATTAGAATATGGTTTCTCAGTTTTTAGCCTGATGGTTTAACCGCTACGCCAAACTGCCGTTTGCTTCTTTAGCTTCATAGTATAATTTGTGCCAAAAAGCTAATTGGGTAAAAAAACCCAAAAAACTTTGTTTCGTCCTCAGGGCACACTCAATCCATCACTTATAACTTGATCTAATTGTACCATTTTAGGCATACATCCAAATTGATTTTCCTATGGTTTCTTTCTTAATAAGGTGTTAATGTTACTGTGCTTGCAGAATAATTCACTAGACATGCTGAATGCACTCCACACACACATGAAGATATTTATTTCCATGACTATGGAAATGCTATTAACTAGGAAGAACATTTCCATCGAAACATCTTCAAAATGATTGGCCCATCTCCTCTCTTCTCACTAGGAGTTAGCGCAACTGCAAAACCCTTAGTTGTGTTACAACTTCAACTTTATTCCCTTGCCTATTTAGTCAGATTTTGATATAGTGGTACTACATGTATGTTTGCTAGTTATCATCTTTAAGACCTACATGACATTGGGGTCTACAATACTTATTTGAGGGACTGTTAACTCCTATGGTTTCTAACCTTCCTATAAGATCTGAAACAGTTTCCTCACTCCTAGTCCCATCAATCAAGCAATCTAGCAGGACTCTGAAGGAAGGTCATGTCTATCACCTACCTTCTGGAACAGCATTCAGAATGACTGTACCACCTTACTGATATTTAAAACCATATTAAAAATGTGGCTATTCCCCTAGACCAGGAGTGGGCAATTGTGGCTCTTTTACAACCTCTGGACTTCAACTCCCAGAATTCCTGACATAGCCAAGCTTATTGTGGCTCTTTTACAGGTTGTAAAAGAGCCACAATTGCCCACCCCTGCCCTAGACCTTGTGTTAGGCACTATGTCTGTGGGTGAGAAAATGATTGCCTTTTTCCTCTAACTTCATTGTTTGTAGATGTTATTTAGTTTCTAGGCCACCTGGAATCTTTGCAGTTGGTTGGCCTAGAAGTTGACTGAATAAATGAACAAATGAACAAATGAATGAATGAATGAATAAAGTTGCATGTTTCTTACTTTTATAAAGCCATTTTCCTTCACTAATTCCTTTAAAATGGGTATTACAAAGCTGCCATTTTTGGCTATTATAATCTTGTTTTATGACACTTCATATTTTTCAGTTTTGGATTACTGAATAAATCTTCTGTGACTTCCATCTTCATCTCTATCATTAATATGATATATGTCTTATTTCATTAAAACATTTTCTTTTCATAGCTAATTTCTCTCCCCACTAACTTAATAAATGGATACCTTTCAAGAAAACAAAGCTATTTGTCTCAGGCGGAATAGAATGAATGGAATCGAATACGAGATAGAAAAGGTTGGAAGGCTGGAAGACTGAAATAAAAGTTGGAACTTCCCTAGGAATCTTCACCACTGTTAAGGGATTCTGAAAGTTGTAATTCAACAGTGTTTGGACGGTTGTTTCCTCTATGAAGATTTAAGGAATGACAGCCTCACTAATATAGGATAAGAAATGGGCAACTCTCATTCAACTACATATACTGTCTAGGGTCATGATGGTGAACCTATGGCACGCGTAGCCATATCGGTGGGCACGCAAGTTCAGCTCCGGCATGGAGGAGTTCCCACTGGAAATTGGCAAACTGACTGTTTCCGGCCTCCGGAGGGCCTCTGGGGGGATGGGGAAGGGCATTTTTGCCCTCCCCAGATTCCTAGAAAGGCTCTGGAGGCTGGGGACAGCAAAAAATGGGCCTACCATACCATCACATGCCAGGAGCAGGGGGGGTCTCATGTGCAGGGGCAGGGTACATAGAATTATGGGTGTGGGCATGCGCACCACCCACCCACTCCTGGCACACGATCGCAAAAAGGTTAGCCATCACTGGTCTAGGGCCTTTTCAGAATGAAGGAGATTAAAATATGAGGTGTCTTCATCCCTGGGAGACAGTGAGAAGCCTACTGCAATGTAGCCTATAGAAATCCTCAGCTGGTACATCAGCTAATAAACTTTGGAAATGAACAAAGACATTGTTCAAAGAGACCCGGACAATTTTTATAGCTACTTTTGAGGACAGAAAAATGAGTAAAAACACTTGAGTTCCCTTACAAATGCTTTGTCTACTTGCCAGGCTGGACCAGGGACGGTGTTAATAGGAGCTTTCTAGCCATCCCAATTATATTGCTGCAACCAGGAAGGAGATTTTTTCTCCTTTCTGTTATTAAAATAGCCTTCACCAAATGGATGCCCCTCATCTCCATATATTAGGTAAACTCTCCAGCTGATCATGTTGCACTAGCCATCCAATACATTTGGAGGCCACAAGGCTGAGGAAGACTGTTGATCCACATGCCAAATTAGCTCACACAGTGTCACAGGTATAAAGTCAGTGTGCTAGTGGTAGATAAATTACTTCAACCAGGCCATCTGTGTGGTTTTCTGGATTTCTCTATTCTCAGTTCTATTAATGGAAGCTCATAAGACAAGAGTATCAAGAAGAACTCACTGAAAATATTCTTTCCTTCCAGGAAGGGCATATCATGGACAAGATGCTGTTTTCAGAAGAACCACAACATTCAGGGTTTGGGCTGTTTTTAGAAAATGAAATTGATTCCTGTGTTCTTTGTTCTGCTCTAGGAGAAGGCTCTGAAGTTTTCAGTTTTTTAGCCAGAACAGGATAAAAAGGGCAATATGCTGCAAGGGCAAAGACTTTTGCATGAATTAGAGATTGTAAGTAGACAAAAATCCTTTGAAGTATATAGGAAAATGCCAATAATATGATAAAAAGCATCGCCTAAGCTAATTTGTTCAGATGTGGGCATCTTTGAATATGGAACAGTAAATTAATTAGGTTTCTTTTTCTTTCAGAAGATTCTCCAAGGAAAATTTGTATGAAATCACCTAATTTACAAACCAATAAACACATTACTGTATATAGAACACATTTGTATGCTGATTAATTTTGTAAAGCGATTTGCTCTACAATAAACTATATACATTAAATTTTGTATACCCATACTAAAAATAGTGTACACATGTAAGTATATTACTTTAGAAAAATACACAAATGAATTAAAATTATATGTGAAAGGTACGCATACTAGGAAATATTCATAAAATACATATTAACATAAATATTTCGTGTATATCTAGAAACAGAAACAATGATGTTCCAAAACAAAACTTTAGATCAGGAATTCAAGAAACTGAAAAATACTGACTGATAAACTTGCCAATTCCTACATTTAAACAATTATGAACAATTCAATTAAATGAAAAACCACATTTTGCAATACGTATATTTAGCTAAAATCTACATCAATATTTAAATGTATGAATATATTTTCCCAATTTTATATTTATGCAGTTTCCTAATTCCTAAAATCCTTTTCATATATTAATTTCATGCACATTAATATTTCTGTGGATGTTTTGTAATGTACACATTTATGTACAGTATGTTATTTATTTATTTATTTATTTATTTATTTATTTATTTATCAGATTTATATGCCGCCCTTCTCCCGTAGGATTCGGGGCGGCTCACAACAATAAACAACCCGACAATAGATAAATATTAAATAATATTAAAAACCAATTTAAAATCCCCAAATCTCCAAGTTAAAATCCACGGCAGATCAGGGAAGTTGCTGAAAGAGCCATGATACAAAGTACTGTTGTATCATAAAATTCAGAAAAAATGTACTGAATAACAGCATTTCACTTTGTGTATTAGTTTAGAAAGTTCAAATCAGATAAAGTTCACATTCAGATGTGAGGTGAATGAATTTCTCTTCCATCCCTAGATCAGGAATGGTAATTCTGGCTTATTAGTGATTTGTTTCTCAATAAATGAGGATGGCTAGTTTTGCCCAGAAGCCAAGGCTCAATGACTTTTCAACAGGAACTGCATCTTAATTATGATGCAGAATTATGGGAGATGAGCCAAAGTTGATAGACAAGTTGATCTTAGGAGCAAAATGGCTATGCTATAGCTCAGTAATTAAATTTTAAATGTGTCACTTCTTTTTTTGACCTCAA